ACTGGCAGTGGCTTTGAAATCATTTTAAGAATCCATGCTACTGAAACCATTCACAAGAGGAAAATGAGCAATTAAAATCGTGCATGGGAAATATCTCGATCAACAATAAAAAAGGTACCAATTACATCTAATGAATGTTTTTGTCACAGGACATAGTACCTTTTCTAAATTACAAGCAAGGGACAAATATATTAGATAAATAATTGTGCGCATAGGAATTCCGAAAAAGAATTCTGAAACTTCCAAAGGGATTCCATATGATCCAAATATGTCTTTGTGTTTTTTTGAACCCCTAGTTGGTGTATTAATAGCTGAAACATAATTAAATTCACTCATTGTATCAAGGTAAGTATTCGAGTCTTGAGTATTTGATAATATATCTATGTTCATGTTGCCTATACAGATACTATAATCATAGTTATTTTTGCTTTCTTGGGTTAAGAAAGTATTTATCTCATTTATAAAATTAGGTATATCAGTAGTATTTATGTTAAAAATGTTTTCCATAGTTAATTTTCACATGTAGAAGAAATCTATTGTTAAATCTCACTTTATGATGAGATACATAAATAAATACACCTAAACTGTTGAATAAATCTGTTGCTCTACAATTAAATAAAACAATTAATAGAAGGTTTATGTGAGTTCTGAAAAAAATTGACATTTTAATTAACAAATCTGAATTTTAACACCACTCCAACCTCCGCACTGCACCCACATACCCTCTACACTCCTAAAACGATTTCACAGGTGTTTTTAAATAAGCATGACATAGTACTTTTGTCTGGGACACAAATATTCGCAATTTTTTCGCCATTCAACAATGGACGAGATTTTTCCATGCCGTTCTCGAACGCCTACTTGATAATTTTATTCCAAAGGCGGAACTCCTTATCATATTAGCATTCAATAATATGTATTCCGGTGTTTTTTTTTTAAGTCGGTTGAAGACTCGCTTATGGTAATTCGGTCTCTTTGAAGAACGAGAAGACGAACGCTAGGCTGTATCGTTTGATTTTATTAAATAATTACTGGTTTGGGGCAGTTGGAAGACGCCCACTGGTCGGGATTAATTGATTGCGAATTAAGTGCAGTCGGTGAACTCCATAAAGTTGCATTTTATATGACGTGGAAGAAAATATTGTAACTAGAATACCAAACACATTCTTTTTACTTTCAAGACTGTATACATATAAGAAAAGTATATTTTTTCGACCTCGAGTTTTTTTAAGGATTTTCACATTTTGGGGTCCCTGAATCCGTTTTGACTATTTTCGCGATGATGTGTGTGTGCTGATTAGATTTTGGGCAGAGTGTGAACTTTATAGGAAATCGTTTTTATATTTTATGGAATATATCTGTTATTTACGTTTGGAGATAAAAATTCTTCAAATAAACGTTACTTGTAATATTATTTTTTACAATTTTTGTCTTATACAAAATTTTCCTAAAATGGCCCGTATTCGAAACATTTAAATTTTTAAGAAAATTGTTTTAATAAAAGTTGTTTGTGATGTCATTTTCTAGAATTCTTGTCCTATACATAATTTTTCTAAAATGAACCACAATAGAGATATTTCAGAAAAAGTGTAAATTTCGAATTTTGAAGAAAACTCAAAAACGGATGAAGAGAAAATTGCCAAATTTTAAATGTACACTATTTTCCATCATGCAATAAACTGATTAAATTTTGAGCATAGTCGGAACATCTGGGGGTACTTTATAGGTAGTCATTTTTACATTTTATATATTTGTTATTTAGGTTTGGAGAAGAAAAATCTTCAAATAAAAGTTATTTATATTATTATTTATAATTGTTCTATACAAAATTTTCCTAAAATGGTCCGTATTCGAGAAATTTGATAAAATGTAAAAAAATTAATTTTTTATAAAAATTGTTTAAATAAAAGTTTATAATATAATTCTCTATAATTTTTATCCTATATATAATTTATCTAAAATGGACCGTATTCGAGATATTTGAGAAAAAGTATAAATTTCGAATTTTAAAGAAAACTCAAAAACGGATGAAGAAAAACACATTAAATTTCAAACTTAAGCTTTATTCCGGCTTGAGGTGAACTGATTAGATTTTGGGCAGAGTCGGAACATCTGGGGGGTACTTCATAGTGGGTCATTTTTATATTTTATGTAATATATCTGTTATTTACGTAAGGAGTTACTTGTAATATTATTTTCTATAATTTTTGTCTTATACAGAATTTTTCTTTAATGGCCCGTATTCGAGAAATTTGACAAAATCTAAAAAAATTTAAATTTTTAAGAAAATTGTTTTAATAAAAGTTATTTGTAATTCTTGTCTTATGCATAATTTTTCTAAATTGAACCGTAATGGAGATATTTCAGAAAAAGTGTAAATTTCGAATTTTGAAGAAAAGTCAAAAACGGATAAAGAAAAAATTAACCAAATTTAAAATTTTGACTATTTTCCATCATGCAATAAACTGATTTAAATTAAATTTGAGCATAGTCAGAATATAGGGGGGGGGGGGGGTACTTTATGGAGGGTCGTTTTTTTTTACTTTATGAAATATATTTGTTATTTACACTTGTAGAAGAAAATTCTTTAAATAAAAGTTGCTTATAGTGTTATTCTCTATAATTTTTGTCCTATACATAATTTTCTTAAAATGGTCCGTTTTCGAGAAATTTGACAAGAAGATTACCGGGCACCGAGCCGGGCACCTTTTTGTGCAAAAGTTACTAGTTTTCGAGGTACAGTGTGTTAAACATAGTAAAGTGTCACTTTTTTAAAACACACGTTTTATTCCCATTTTTAGAAAACATAAATATGAATATTAATATATTACAAAATTTGGTAAATTACAGGGTGGTTTGAAAATACGCTATATTATTTTTAAAAATAATTGGTTTTATGACAGTATTAAAAAATATGAACAATTGTAATAAGAACATAAAAATATAGTGTAACTAATTACTTCTTGTAGATAATTCATATGTTATACAGGGTGACTCATATAAGAGTTACAAATGATAGCTTTAAGATAGCTTTAACGATCTTCTACAATATTTATATTATATTAGACAAATGTCACTAAATCATAGGTTCCCAAAAATATTTATTTTTCAATTAAAATATAGTTAATAAATATTTCAAATACATAAATCTTTTAGAAATAACAAATGTTTTTATATTATTTTGAATACTGCAAAAACTGTAGGCGGTAGAAAAGTTTTTTACATCACACTATAGTTTAAAATTGTTTCCGTCAACTTTAAAATTAATTACATTTTTAAATCAAAAAAAGTTAAATTTTGTATTAATCCCATTAGTTTTCGTAAAATGTGTACCAAAATTTACTAGCTAATATATCTATTTTACTTATCAAACTAGAAAAGTGGGATGTGCCCAATTTTCTTTATTTTTACAAATATGTATCCGTTAATTTTATAAATTGATAAGCACATCGATTATATAAGGTCCTTGCCCCGTTCTCAAGGACCTTACATTATTTTTATTTATTCATTCACCGAAAGCAGTGCGTCTTATTTGTTAATAATCTAAAATAATACCATGGCGCCTTATATATATGTAATGTAAATGTAACGCCATTTAAAAAAGAATATACTATAGATTACCCAATCAGTATAATGTAATAAATATGACGGATATTATCTATAACAATAGGTGTAAGTAAGAAGATATCTTATCTTGAAATATTATTAAAAATTTAAAATGATCTAGTTTGTTATTATTAATAAAATCTTGATGCGCAATTGCTGCACTTTCTCCGAAAATAAAAGAAAAAAAATATCGTAGAATCGTATTTCTGAATTTTTGTTTACATCCTACATTTTAATCGGAATTGATAATTTGACGGTTGTAAATTACCAAATATTTATCAAATTGGTTTTAATATAAATTTAATATAATCCGATAATGGTGGGAACCGAACCCACTAGCTTTGGTACACAGAACCACTAGACTACACGAGCATAAGCCTCCTGCGATATAGTAATTAATATGAGGCGATAAGAGCCAGTTCCAATGTAGATCGCAAGATGCGATATTTTTATAATGAAATTGAGTATTTGTAGGTGATTATAATACAAAAAAATATCTACTGATCTAATGAAGGCTTATTATCCTTTAGTAATATAACACTATGGCATATGATATATAAATCAATTGTCATAGTCATATTAACAACAGTAAAGATGCCTAAGATGACAGCTCCCTCCCACTAAAAGTGACACTTCATGTCACACACTTCATGTGTCACACGCATGGCCCGCCTTGCCGAATTGGTTGTCAGGCATATATAAAGTGTAACGCCCTTAAGAGTTAATAAATGAATCAATACTTAATTCCAGTGTTTCAATGAATAGTACAAGGTAAACGATAAATAGTAGTTAAGTAATAAAAACACGAAAAGAAAAGATAGAATCTATAAAAAAAGGCACGTGTAAGAAGTGCCGCAAAATTCATTAAAATGACACCACCGCCGGCACCAAATGCAATTCAAAATCTGGTATTACCAGCTCCATTGTCTCTTACAGGAAATGTTTGTGAAAATTGGACGAAATTTAAGCAGCAATTTAATATATACATGATGGCATCAGGTTTAAATAAACAATCCTAAGGAAGGGCAGGTTGCAATTTTTTATAAACATAATCAGTAGATGTCTATAAGTCTATAAGTTCGAAAATGATGAAGAGAAAAATATCCAAAAATTTTTGGAGGCTTTCGATGCCCATTGTAATCCAAAGAAGAATATTTTGCATGCTAGGTTTCTATTTTATGAGAGAAGGCAAAAAGAATATGAGCCATTTGATTCATTTGTATTAGATGTGAAAACGTTATTAAGGGATGCAGCATTTTCAAGCCCAGATGAAATCCTGTGAGATAAAATAGTGTTGCATTCATCTGACAGAGATACACAAGATAAGCTAAAAAGACAAGGAAATGTACAGTTAAAAGATATACATAGAAATGTTGTCGATAAAATAGAAGAAAATGCAAGGAGCCAAGTTGAAGCAGAAGTTAAAAATGTTCGAGAGAGATTCTTTCCTAGACAAAGAGAAAACCAGGGAGAAAACAGCAGAAGTAATTATCAAAATGTCAGAAAAGCAAGGTGTCAACGATGTCATGGTTTCCATAGGTATAATAACTGCCCAGCTACAGGAAAGCAGTGTTCAAAATGTAAAAAGTAGAATCATTTCTCAGCAGCATGTAAGTTTCAATAAACGAGATAGAAGATAATAGAAATAAGGAGGAAGAAGATCAAGAATATTTTTGTTGTTCAATAAATGATAAAAATAGTTAGCAAGAAGAGTTAATTGTTGAACCGGTACCAATTACTTTTAAGATAGATTCAGGGTCAGACGAAAATATAATATTGAAAATTTAAAAAAATTAAAAGATTGTAATAATAATAATATGTTCAAAATGTATAAAAGAAATGTAAATTTAGAAGCTTATGGAGGAGTGTCATTGTCAGAGCATCCTCCTTGATGTAAATATCAAGGGGAATGAAACTAAGAATGACTTCCATGGCTCTGGTCGGTGTTGTTTTCATGGCTCCTGTTATGTTGAGACATGATGTTCTTTCAATTTGTTCAAGTTTTTCCGGACAACTGCACAGTATGTTAGCATAGGTCTTCTGATAGCCGTGTAAGTCCATGCGACGACTCTGGGGCAGAAACCCCAGGTGCGCCCCACGGTTTGGCGGTATTGTTCAACAATAGAGTACTTGAGATGACGTTAACTTCGTTTTTGACAACTGACAGTACCGGAAGAGTGCGTAAAACAATGTAGAATCGTGGAGAGGCAATTTTATTCTGATTTTTACAACTATTAATGACCTTTTAACCTCCCACACTATAGTCAAAGTGTTCTATGCTTGTAATAAAAAAAGTTTTCACGATAAAATTAGGGGGGAAAATTATATTTTCTAAGGGTGTAAATATAAACAGACCTAGGAACAAATATACACAGTAATTTATTATTAGACTTGCGTATTTTCTCGCTTTAAGTATACATTATTACTTATTACAAAGAACTTGGTTACAAAACTATTTTAAACCCATCATAAACCAGCGCTGGATCCATTATTTACAATGACGGAAATGTCACAATTGTTTAGTGGTCGTAATACTGCACAGAGTTTAGTTCTTGCTAAATTTAAGAACGCGGCGCGGCGCTCCGAAAATTTACACACCGGAAAGTTGTTTTTCCAGCTTTATTTCGCCGATAAATTTCGTCCGGATGTTCGCAATAATGCTCCGTGGATAATTTGCTATTATGAAATTTATTTGTTGAATATAATGAGGGTTTTTTGTGTAGTTTATATTCCGGATATCTCATAAATATTAAGAATATATTCAAATCTGATAGATACGGAGTCCTTCAAGGGTCAATACTGGGACCAGTAATGTTTATTTTATATGAGGACTTTAACTTCAACAGTAATTAATTTTTTGGAGTAACGAATATATATGTGCGTATGTTATCAATTTTATTTTGCTCATAACTTTTTACCATGTTTTTGCCAGCAGGTGAAACATTTTCTTCTGGAAAAAGCTGACTTTTGTATTTTTAGTCTTTTCATTTGTTAAGACTCAATTAAGTAGTGTATATGCTGTAGTTCTTTATTATTTTATATACAATACTTGTATAGAGGAATCTTTTATAATTTACATGTTTTATGAAAAATAAAGAATTATTATTAAAATAGAATATTGAAATCAAAAAATAAACATAATTAAAAATTTAGAACACAAAAAAATATGACATAAATTCGAGTATGCTCGAACTGGTCATTTCTTTATGATATTAATTTTTTCTTCTTAGTATCATTGTTATAGTATATTACATTACGAGTGTGGAAAGTGATATTTTTCACACGAGTAAGAAATATTGTCGCACGAGGCATATGCCGAGTGCGACAAGCACACAAGTGTGAAAAATTACTTTAAAAAAATCAGAATCAAACTCTATAAAGGGATGAAGCTTACTGACTGTGAGACAAATCTGATTAAAAATAGGGGGTTATGGGAGTCTGTTAAACTGTGAAGAGTATAAAATCGAATACCAAGTATTATAAATCTTTATTCTAAGAGCCAAAAAAGTTTCAAAATAAATGTGTTAAACCAATAGTAATACGAGAATAACCTATTTTTTTAAAGTGTGGGGTTAGTTCCTCAAAATATTGAAAGTGCGGACGTGCATATATTATCATAAGCCCCTTTGATGTCTAGGAACACTACGATAGGGTTTTTGTTGTTAGAGAGGGCACAGAAGATTTTCGAACAAACAAAAACTGCATTGTCGTCACACCTCTTCCTTTCCTAAAGCCATTTTGGTAAGGGTTTAATTTAGAAGAATTTTCCAAGAACCAATCTAAACGATTTTTGATCATTTTTTCCACAAGCTTACAAATGCGGCTGGTTAGGGCTATGGATCGTCAACTGGTTGCTTCATTGGGGTCAGCAGATTTTTTAAGGATAGGGATGAATAAAAAGTTTTTCCAGTAACCAAGCATTGGAGTATTGTTGCTGAGTATGGTGTTAAATAGTTTTAGTAAGAATAAAAGTGCTTTTCTAGGAATTTAGGTTTATATTTTGATAGTTGACATATGTAAGGTTAAAATTATGACATCTGTCATCAGGTTAAGTTAGCTAACTTCAGAACTATTGTCGCACATGCGCATTTTCAATAGGGGATGGCTTAGGTGGTTTACAAAAGTGGAGGGGGTACTCCAAAGTAAGGAAATTCCTGCTCTAGGAGGGTGTGTGTCAGATTTTGATGCATTCGTCGAAACTCTTAGAAAGGACATAAAATATGTTCAAATCATTACTATAAACGAAACTAATATTTTTTAAACCGAGTTGAAAGTGATACATCTTAAAAATACATGAGCAGCCTAGGATGTATGGGAAATTGTTTAACAGTTTTCAACTTGTTCAAATGATTATAACTTTTTTGTACTCCTGAACATCTACCTTTTTGTTACACCCTGTATATTCAGAAATATCTTTCTACGATCGCACTTACAGTTGTAAAAATTATTTCAATTTACGATTTAAACATACCGTAGTATAAACTAGTGCAAAACCATCATCAATTACCCTTTAAATATAAATTCTAACGACCGATTCGACACCAGAATTATGGTATCGATATTTTCCTCCACAACTGTATCGCAAACATTTATGATGACTTGTTGATGGCACACGTCACCATGTACTTCATAAAGGAAATATATATATAAGATTATTTTCGTCTGTTGGGGTACAGTTTATTGGACTACTATTTGGTGTGCGATGGACGCAAGAGTTCAGAAGTAAACCGCACGGGATAATTTTAGAATTGGCTGTAACTTTATACACTTGAGCCGTTCGGATCATTGTTTTATTGCAAAATCCTGTTGAGGAATTTTTAAGTGGGGTCAGGAGAACTATGTTAGTGGTAAAAAACTATATTACTTTCGGCGTGAAACATCTTGAACGAAAGAAGAAATGATTCGAGAGCTTAAATTTAACCACAAGAAGCTTTTATTTAAAGTAAATTGTAACAAATAATTACGATTTTAGAAAATTGTTGGGAAATAAATAACGACTATTTAATAATAAGTTGACTCTTAATACATTTTTAGTTTAAGTATAATATACATTCTTCCACTAGTTGAAGAATGTAAACATTATTCAACTAGTGTTAAACATTCTTCAACTAGTGGAATAATGAAATCAACCAAACTACAAAATAATAGAACATCATATTTATGCCCAATAGAAATTCGCTAATACATCATTATCAAAGGTGTGCTACGATCATTGAGGTAGTATTATATAGAGACGCTGTCACGTGGTCAAAAACGGCATCAGTCCGCCATATTGATGCGACACTTGTGTCAAACAGTTGTCGCATTGTTGTGAGTTCGTTAATGCGATTTGTATGATCAAGTGTTTGTGTTTTTAATTGCTTTTTCTACACCCGTATTATAATAATGCACTTATATGCCCATAATCCGTTTCATAATGATACCCATTATGATACAGATTTTTCATTATGATACAGATTTTTAATCAATAGAAACCTACAATTTTTCAATCAAGCATGATGTTTGACGTTTGTCCTAAATTCCTATGTAATTGTTTTAGTTGTCAAAATGTATTAAATTTTCGTAGATAGCTAAACTTCGATAATTATAATATTAAAATGTCTGATATCAGCGATATAGAACACTCCTCCACACATATAGGAGAAAGGAGAAAATGCAGTACAAAATATTTTGCCCCAAAAATCTGTGGTAATACCAGTACCCAAGGTAATACCATTAATTACAATTTTGTAGAATTTTTTATAGAAATACGAGTAATTACTGTTATTGTGTTCAATACCAATATAAATAGAATATTTATAGGTCTTGATTATTTATCGGGTGTAGAAAAAATAGCGTATGCAACTCTCATGTAATGGTTATTAAAACACTCGCATAAACCATACGAAACTCGCCTTTGGCTCGTTTCGTATCCCGGTTAATGCTCGTGTATTAATAACCATCATTACATGATCGTTGCATAATATACTATTTTGTGTGGAATTTAAATAATATAGTGAAAGATAATAATGGTTTCATGTGCTCTTCGAAACTATAATGCAGTTAATAAAAAGAAGAAGACAATAACAGTGCATAGATTAGTATATAAAATGATAACAATAAACAGGGTAGTATTTGAACAATTTACTATGCTGTGCATGAGTTTAATTTTTCCCATATACGAGGGACACTGCCAAAGTTCGCGGAAAATGTAAAGCAAACACAAATTACGTTATGTAAATCGCTTTATTGCCTCTCAAAATATTTTCCTTTAAAATCTATACACTTTTGCATCCGATGAAACCAATCTTCAAAACAATTTTGCCATTCTGAGCGAGGTACCTTCAAAACAAGTGATTTAAATGCTTGAACATTCTCTTCAGGCTCATATGAATATATCCAAGATTCGTCACCTGTTACGATCTTATATACCGAATTTGAACAACCCCCTTCGAATTTGTTTAGCATTTCCTTGCACCACTTGACACGTGCCAACGACTGCAAAGCTTCCTGACATGCAAATGATCGTGCAAAATCATATGTATTTGTATCGCTGCAATGCCTAAGGATGCCTCTATCTCACGATAGGTCACATGCCGATCTGACAAAATCATTTCATCAATATTTTTCG